ACTTTTTGTTCCAAACAGTGCCAGAACTATCTATGCATGTGCATGAAGCGTGCGCACATGAACGAAAACGCGCCAACGCAGTGTGTGCCTCTTGGTCTATGAGGGGAGTTGTAACTTATCGGGGGGGTCTGGGGGGGGCGTAGCCCCCCCCAGCGCCCCACTCTTAAGGAATACATAACGGCGACGCTAGCAACTTTGTTACTTAGGTTGGAATAAATTGAGACCCCCCCTAAATGAAAAAAAAATCACTGGGAGCAGGCGTACCTTGACCTGCTGCGCCACGTCCTAGAGTGCGGCGAGCCGCGGGAAGACCGCACCGGTACGGGCACGCTGTCCGTGTTCGGCAGGCAGCTGCGGTTCGACATCTCGGACTGCGTGCCGGTGCTGACCACCAAAAAGGTTGCGTGGCAAAAGGTCATCCAGGAGCTGCTGTGGTTCATGCGCGGCGACACGGACGCAGCGATCCTGCAGCGCGACGGCGTACGCGTGTGGGACGGCAACAGCTCGCGCGCGTTCTTGGACGCGCGCGGCCTGCGCCACCTGCCAGAGGGCGACATTGGCGCGGGCTACGGCCACCAGTGGCGCCGCTTCGGCTCGCCGTACGTGGACTGCAAGACGCCGCCCCGGCAGGGGGCCGAGGCAGGGGGCGTCGACCAGCTGCAGTTTGTGCTCGACGAGCTGCGGCGCAACCCCAGCAGCCGCCGCATCTTCATGTCCGCCTGGAACCCGTGCGACCTGGACAAGATGGCGCTGCCGCCCTGCCACGTCTCCGCGCAGTTCTACGCCGACCGCGCCGGCGGCCTGAGCTGCCACATGTACCAGCGCAGCGTGGACGTGTTCCTCGGCTTCCCCTGGAACATCCTGTCGTACTCGGTCCTCACGTACATCCTCGCGGCCAAGGCGGGCCTCAAGCCCAAGGAGCTCATCATCTCGACGGGCGACACGCACATCTACGCCAACCACGTCGGCCAAGTGAGGACGCAGCTTGCACGCCAGCCGTTTGCGTGGCCCCGGCTGGAGCTGTCGCCCGCGGTCGCCGCCAAGGCGTTCGAGGACATAACCCTCGAGGACTTTCGCATGGTAGGCTACACCAGTCACCCGTACATCCGGGCGGACATGAGCGTGTGACAGCATGGCGCGGAGGACGGACGAGCAGAGGCGAGAAAAGTGTGACAGTAATACCCCCGTGCATGCCCGCTGGTGTGGGGCTGCGCAGCCGCCAACCTCGAGGCCCGATGGCAGATGCTCAGAGCGAGCATCCGGTACCGGCTGTGCGCCGCCCCCCAACCCCCCACCCACCCACACACACGGGGACAGGTTGCGACTGGCTGGCGTCGTCGCACTTTGGGTTAGCCCCAACTTGAGAGAACAGCCTGGGGTCGAAGGCTTCCATTCTCGGTCTCCATTCTCGACATAACCCGGGTGTAGTGGAACACGTGCGGGCGCGCCACGCAGTGGATGCTGGGGCTTTTCGCCCTGCATATGGGCATCGGTGGCCTTACACTCCGGAGCCAGCGAAAAATGGTACACTCCATTTTACGTTCAGAATGACTGGAATGAATGACACATGCCAGCTCTGTGTGATATCCCGCGGCGCGCCAGAGAAAAAGTACAGAGACAGCTCGGCCTGGGCGAGACACTGACACTGCAGAGGGGCGAGCGCGCGAGCGCGCTCGAGCCTGCCGACGTGTTGCGTAACGCTTTTTTACGCGTTTCGCGTGGGCGGGGGGAGTGTGTCCACGCCTGACCTAGAAAGACCACCTCACCCAATCATTTTTCCTATCCTACTCATTCTCTGCCTGTTGTGCACCCCGGTATCAAGCCAGAGTTCCCGCTGCTGTGGCCGACCGCAGCAGCCTCTCGCGCAGAGTGGCAGAGATCTCGGGTCGTGCAGCAGCCTGCAGTATAGTATCCCTGTGGGCCTCTCTGATGAACGCCGCCAATGCCCTCCCCTTGGCGTGCTCACTGGCCTCGTCGCGCAGCGCCTCCCACTCGTCTGGATCGATGAAGTGGCGACGGCTGCGGTAGCCGTGGTGGTAGTGGCCGTGGTGGTACCCGTCATCGTCCAGGATCGCGCGCATGCACTCATCCACCAGCCGACTGTACGGTGTGTATGTAAACAGGAACCACATGTCACCCATGATGTCCACGACCCGGCCGCTGCCGCTGCTGCCGCCGCCGTGGAGCACAAAATCACGGCACATCCTTGAATCGTGGCGCAGCTGCAGGCCTCGGGCGTGCAGGGCCTCCTCCAGCTCCATGTACCGGGCTGCGTACGCTCGCAGCGTCTCCACGACGTCCCGCGCCTCTCCCTTGCCATCGACGACGTACTGGGCGTACGGGCAGTAGTGCTGCTGCTGCGCGTGTGATGGAGCCGAAGTTATCAGCTCGTGCACACGCTGAAGAACGGCGGTGTTGAAGCTGGCGCCCAGCAGCGCGTCGAGTCGCCTGTACCTGGCATCCCGCCTGGCCATCTCCGCGGCAGCGCGCGCGCTCCTGGCCTGGGCGCAGCGCCTCTTGGAGTCCTCGAACGCCTCCCTGGAGCCCCACTTGGCGAGCACCGCGCGCGCGAGCTCAGCTGCGGGGAAGAGGCGCATGCTCGGCCCGCGGGCGCGGTGCGGATTGGCGCGGAGTATCTGGTGCGGCTCCAGAGCGACGAGGTCCTTCTTGGTGAGGCCGTACATCTCGCTGGCCTGGGACGCCGCGCGCATCACCCGCGGCGCGGCCTTGATGGCGAGCCGCTCCTCGGCGGACAGGCGGCACACGCTGGCACGCGCCAAATCCTCCTCCTGCTGCTGTTGCTGCTTCTGCACAGCGAGCCGGTAATCCGCCTCGTCCCTGAGGAACTTGGCCGTCACAGCCTCTCGCATCTGACTCAGCGTGACACGGCCGCACGTGCTGACGCCTCGCTCTCGGCAGAGCAGACACAGCTCGGCCTGCCGCATGCGACCCAGGTTCTCCGGCGGCGGATGTGGCGGCGGCGGCTGTTGTTGTTCTTGTTGCTGTTGTTCTTCCGCAGAGGTTCTCCTCCGCCGCCCCTCGCCATCCAGCAGCAGCTCTTCTTGCAGCGCCTGCGCCAGCAGCGCCGCGCTCCGGTTGCAGGTGAGCGCGAGGGCAGCGGCAGTCCTGGCCACATCCGCGCGAAAGACCCAGACGTCGTCTACTGCGCTCTTGTCCATCAGGGCGGACGCGATCAGCTTCAGGACGTCCGGCGGCATGTGCTCCAGGGACGTCGTTCCTACTACTTCATCGTCTCTGCCTCTTCTGCCACCATCATCCATGGTTTCTGGAGGGTTTGGAGGGTTTGGAGGGGGGGGGGGGATGTGAGCGTGTGTGCGTGGCACAAACACAGCGTCCTTTTATGTACTTTTGCCACTACTCTTCTACCTCTCTGCACGAGAGAGTGTACCATGATCAGAGTCTCTTCTTGCTGAGTCATCTGATGACTCTCACTCATACACTCGGTCTCAAATGATTGTGGGGCGCCGCTTGTGTGTGTGTGTGCACCGCCCTCCCAGTACCCGAATCGGTATGTAAAAACTCATCATGCCGCCACTGAAGCGGTCGTGTGTGTGTGTGTGTGTGTGTGTGTGTGTGTGCGGTAAAAAAAACACGACAGCCTCTCTCTCTCTCTCTGTCTGCTGCTCTACCTCTGCCCTCTCTACCGCAACCTCAGCAAATCCGCCCTTCTTGCAGAGAGTACTCCCACATGGTGGATCTGCGGCTGTCGAGATTTAGGCGCCCTCTGTCAGAACTCTGGGGGCAGCGGAGGATTGCTGGTCTCCGTTTTCACTTTTCTCGTGCGGCAGGTTTGCCCCGGTCCAACTTTTGCGTGTCTAACTAAACATGTATGTTTGCTCAATTTGGCCTTGGTGGTGTGGCTCTGCGCCGCTGCCACCTGAGGTCCGCACATGCTGCATCACAGGGCTCGTATGTTGTCAGAGACACTTACATGTGGCTGGGTCCATGTCCCTCCACCCGCATGGATGCATTTGACAAAGCCCAGATTTGCGAGCAGCTTAAACGGCCCGCAATCGCAGACACTACAAGCCGTGCGCAAAACGGATCAGGGTGACGCGCATGCGGACACCATGCTTGTCGCAAGGCCGCTCACCGACCCCGACCCCGTGTGTCGTCTCGCTGTCTCGCTGGGCCCCGCTCTGGTTCTCTCTTCCGCCGCCGCACATGGGGACGGCCTTCTCCAAGGCCATCGCGAAGAGCTGGAGCTCGCACCGGTCGTGGAGCCGGCGTAGGCGCGAGATGCTGCGAGTCACCCGCCAGGGTGCCTGGAACTCGAGCAGCAGCCTCTCCTCCTTGTCGTGGATGCTGACCAGGAGGCCGAACTCGTCGCCCTCGAGCTCCGGCTCGTCCTCGTACGCACAGGCTGTCCCATAGAGCTCCTCCTGGGCCGCACGGAACGACTCGATGACAAGCCTCCTAGAGCAGAGCGACACGGCGCCTTCCATGGCAGAAAACTCTCCCAGGTGCTCGTCAGGCCCGCACGCTGTGTCCCAGTCTCTGGGCGACACTGCCTGCAGCAGCATGCTGGGCTTCAGGGCCGTCGGTACAGGAATGGCGCGGCGACGCAGCAATGAGCGCGATTCGAGAACGACTGACAGGCGCGATCCTTTCTTGGGATAAATGCCAGAGAGCAGAGGTGAGAAGACGCAGTACAAAACGACAAAAAACGTCTTTTTCGCGCGTGCGAGTTGACGGTTGCAAGCTGACAGTTGGGAGTTGCGGACAGGACATTCAGCACACCCCTTCCACACACACACACACACACACACAAACTGAAGCACCCTCGCTTGAAGGGGAAACGCAGAGAGCAGAACGGATGCCGGGCTTCCGAGCTCATTCTGCTCCGACGCTCGCTCTTCTTTTACAGTGCGGCTTTGCTGTGCAGCAGCCCCGCTGCCCCCGGCCCAGCTCCTGCGCCCGCCATCCCCAGCCGCCTGCCCCGCACCAGCCACTGCACGCAGCACGCGACGGCGGGGCTGCACGCGGCCACGTCGAGCTGCTCCAGCGCCGCGGGGTCCGCGCCGCCCTTCTCCAGCAGCGCAAGCAGCGGCTGCGGCGTCGGCGCGCGCACGGCGGCCGGCAGCAGCGCCGTCGCAGCACCGGCGAGCCCGGCCGCCTTGCCCGCCTGCCGGGCGGCCGCGAGGGTGTCGAGGATGCAGTACAGGGCTGCGTGCCGGCCCAGCTGCAGCGCCAGCTCCAGCGCCGTGCTGCCGGCCGCCCGGGTGCAGTAGAACTCGGCTGCGGGCAGGTGGTGCAGGAGCACGGCGACCATGCCGCGCCCGTCATGCGCGTCGGTGTCGTCGTCCAGATCCTCCGCCGCCACCGCCACCGAGGAGGAGGCGGCGGAGGATCTGGACGACGACGGCGACGACCAGGGCGAGGCCGACGACGGCGACGACATCGGCGGCGGCGACGCCGACCACGCCGCGATGGCCACGT